TGTTGCTCCGAAGGTTTATATTCGCTCAGCCCTGAGCAGCATCCTGTGCAGACATTTATTTTGGCTAAAGCCGGCCCGGTTTGCATTTGGATGCAGTCGCTGAGGCTTGACCCACGCGAGGCTCTGTGCTGCAGCCGTGCTGGCCACACAGGTTGGCTGCCTGCTGGTTTGCTTCCAAGCAGAAGGGCCCGGACGGAGCCGTCCTGCACGGGGCAGCGGGCAGGCAGGCACAGTCCTCGTGCGCACTGGAACCCGGCCACCACCCGGAGACGCGGTGTCCCCAGAGCTCCCCGCCTGCAGCTGCTGCAGACTGTCCCGTAAGGGCTCTTTCCTTGCAAGGACTTCCTCCCTTTTCTGTTGGGATACCCGATATTCCTTGCTGTCCCACCTTGTTCCCTGTCACGGCAAAGAGCAGATCATCGCCACTTGTTCTGCAGCTCACATGTTTTCACGGGGATTTGGTGCAGCAGATGATGCTATATATTAATTACTGACATAACACACTGTGCCAGCACAAACAAATTAACACAAACAATAATCAGCAGGGCTCAGCGTCCTAACGGGAGGCTGCACAACCTACAGGGCTCCTGCTGGGATAATTCTTCTCCCCACGTTGCTGGGTATTTCACTGGACACGTTGCAAACTTGACCCAAGCACCATAAGGAACGGATGCTTCAGCCAACGTCAGCTGCTTCTTCGAATCCAATCCAGCATAAAAACTGACTAACTCCATCCCAGAGATTTTTCTTCTTGCGTCAATGCTGGAGCTGTACCCTCTGGAACGTGTCCAGCCGAGAGGCACCCGGGCTCTGCGCTGTCACTGAGGGCGGCTTGTGCATGTTAACAGCACACAGGAGACTGCAGCCTCTGGGAGCACGGACCGGACCTGAAAATAAGCCTGGGATGCTTCCCAGAGCCCAGATTTGTCTTCATAAAGGCAGCGTGGCTTCTGCCAGCTTGCTCCACTCCTTCTCCTTCTCCTTCTCCTTCTCCTTCTCCTTCTCCTTCTCCTTCTCCTTCTCCTTCTCCTTCTCCTTCTCCTTCTCCTTCTCCTTCTCCTTCTCCTTCTCCTTCTCCTTCTCCTTCTCCTTCTCCTTCTCCTTCTCCTTTCCTTCTCCTTCTCCTTTCCTTCTCCTTCTCCTTCTCCTTCTCCTTCTCCTTCTCCTTCTCCTTCTCCTTCTCCTTCTCCTTCTCCTCCTCCTCCTCCTCCTCCTCCTCCTCCTCCTCCTCCTCTCCTCCTCCTCCTCCTCCTCCTCTCCTTCACCTATACATGTGCCCATCCTCAGAGGATTTTGTGACCAGTGGGTCTCTTCCCTTTTTCCCTTTCCCCAGTGGGACACTGCCCATTTTCGGAGCTGTTGTGGTGGGGCACCTCACTGGGAGGCCAGGTGAGGCAGGGCCCTTCCCAGCTTGCTGACCCACACCACACAGCAGAGCTGTCCCCAGACACAAGGCACATGAGGATTTGGGGCCATTGCTCTGGCTCCTGCCTCCACCACCCAGCAGCCCAGGAGGACGCAGCCCTGCTGTGGGTGCTGGGGGCAGGCTGCCCACGCAGGGGACCGGCCGGCCGGGCGCTCAGCCCTACCCGTGGGCAACACGTGGCCTTGCTCGTGCCCAGCGCCCTGCGTGTTCCTGCTGGCACAGTCCTGGACAGGGACCTGGCAGCCCGCAGCAGGCGCCGTATGGGCAGGAAGGGGCAGGGACCTCCCCAGATGCCGGGAAGGCCTCACAATGGGCTTTGTAATCACTGCCCCAGACTCTGGTAAGGGCAATGTGTGTTACAGAGCTCCCTCAGCGCTGTGAAGCAGAGCGGAGCTGAGCAAGGCTCAGTGCTCCCAATCCTGCCTCAGCCGTGGCTCAAACAAGTTGGGTGTGGGGTGCCCAGGTCACTTGGCACTGATTTAAAGCCTTTTTCTAGCTGCATCTTGATGTGCTCAATGTAAGCAACAACGAAGACATTTAGTCACCTTGAGAAGTCTGTTTGGCATTGAAAGAGATCCAGGATAATTTTGGCTTAGGCTTCTGTATAATTTATTTATTGTATTTTTAGGTTTTGCTGTATAAAATAACCCTGCACCATTTCTAGCTCTTCTCCAATGACACCTTAGTTAACTCTTGTTCTTCCTACTCGTTACCTTGACTTCCCACGTTATAGTTGAGATGCCTGCCTGGAACTGGTCAGGAATCACCATTCCCATGGATTTTCGTGTTTTGTGTGATTCTTTCAAACAACGCTTTTAAAGGAAAATGGTGACTGAATCCAACTTGTTCTCAACCAGGTGGCTGCTGCGTGAGGAACATCCTCCTGCCTGTCCAGGGACAGGTTACGGACGTGGAGGTGCACAGTCAGGCTTCCCAGAGGTGAGAAGGAAAGCAGCCGTTTCCTTCCTCTCCAGTTTTGCAGGGGAAAACCTGGCGTTGGCGAAGCCAGAAGCGGGACCCCCATCACCTGAGGAAGGCAGATGTGAAGGGGAACCTGTAACCTGTGGGGCCCGA